TCTTGATACTGTATGTAAAATTGATTATCCTGTATTTAGGTGATCTGGTATTCATTTGCGACGAATTCACCTGCTGATTCCCATTTATGTAAATCCAGGAACAATTTAAAAAATGTTATCCCTGTACACAGCTGGTGCCCCATAAAACACCTTTGGCACAACAAATTCTGACAAGCCATGCGAATCAGTGAATAGCAGTTTAGGTTTGTCTGTCAAGGTTGATCCTGTGTGAAGAGAAGTGATATTGAGGTGTATTGTGGAAACATGACAGGGAAATGGCTGGTCAGTCCTCTCTCATCACGATGAACAGATGGTAACTCAGGGTTAGTTCATGGGTGAGTGCCAACTAGAAGGCCCATGTGTCTATAACACATAAAAATTCATTGTTGAAATGGAATCATTTCATCCATAATATTCTCAAAAGGCTTATGAACATACTTTTAATATTCTACAAGCAGAATTTGACATACATTTTCTGAATATTATTTATTGATAAAATGTCTAAGTCAAACAGTTGAAAACAAAAATGCTTTATTGTACTCCATTATTTCTATTTTAGAAACAATAATAGTAGTACTGTACTGGAAACCAAGCTGACTTTGTACTTTTTGTAGCAATTTTGTTTACAGTGTTAGCACACTAATATGTAATTTGGTTATAGGATAACTGATTTAATGGTAATACAACTGTAATCGTAATACATGCAACTTCAATAAAACTATGATTTTTATTAAACAATGTTTTGAATTACATTTTAATCAAAAATCATAAATAGTTGGATATATCCCTAACATTATTGTCTACAACCTTCTTTAATGATTCATCTTTAAAACAAGTTTTTAAGTAAAATTACAAGGTAAAAGCTTTTTATTACCACCAATTTGGAATATTATCATGTATGTTACTGTAAGTTTGCATTTTCCTTTATTATACGAGCTTTCTTGTTAGCAGTGCAAGATGAGGTGAATAGCTCACTTTATTATACATTGTCTCAAGACTTATTAAAGGTCTTATCTTTTTTGTAGTTTGGCTACATATGTTACAAACTGCCTCCTCAAATATGGCATTAGAAAATAATGTCTAGTTGTCTCATTTCTCAGATACAAAGTTGTGTTATGGCTGTTGCCATAAAATCTTTCATTAACCTGGTTAGTAAATGAGCAACTACGTGTGTCTGTTAAATTTATACCCAGTCATCTTTACACGTATCAGACCAAAAAGTATGTTGTTTCATAGATTTGCTTAGATAAATATATATTAAATGTATTAATATTATTTCAAATTATGATATGAAACTTGGTTCTCAGTTTAGGAAAATACTAACTGTTGCTGTTATTTTCTGTAGGTACTGTCCATCTTTTTTCAGATTTTTAGAAAACTAAAAATCTCTCTCTCTCTCTTTCTCTTTCTCTCAAATGTACTTGTTCTGTCTTTATTTCCACAGGCTGTGTTGATCTTGAATCACACTGAATGGAGAGCATTGAAGTTCCTTTAAGATGACACGGACGCAACCCCCTGATATACTGGCATCGACTCTATATCGGGACATTACTATAAATCCCATCACTGACCACTCCATTTCTCACCACTCCTCCCGGCAATGTGACTTGAAAATGATTGACAAACAAGAAATCATCAACAAGAGACACTGCCGTAGCTTTGACTTCATTGAATCTTTGGATGACCCGCAGTCCTTCTCTTCTTCAATGGAGTACCCTTACAAGAGGGCTGAGCATCAGACATTAAACAAAGAGCTGATGTGGGATGGGCTAGATCAACCAGGGCATCTTCGCTTTTCATCTCCTGATTTGTTTAACACCAGGCAGTTTAAGCAGCATGGTACCCAAGACAAAACCAGCCATCTTACATGGTCTGATTCTAAAAAGAGAGCAAGATCGAAAAGTGCTCCAAGAATTAAGGCCACCCTCACTCCTGTGCCTATTTCAGTGTCTCCTCCAGGAGCTAAGAAGGGGAGGGATGCACCTCAGGCTGCATCAGATACCTTGAAGACGTCAGAAACACACAGAGAATCCTACTCCTCAAACAGGCCTTTTTTGAATGAGGTACATCCTATCAAACTACAGCCTCATTCTCCCCTCTATGTCTCAGATTGTTTTGAGGAGGACAAGCCAGATAAACCAGCCGTATCCCCACATGTAAGGTGCCGTGTGGACATTAAACCAGATGCTGCTGTACTGCAGCACGCAGCGAGACAGGTTCCCAATGTACGGACTGAGCATCTTTGGCAGAGATATTCACAGGCCAGTAGCAGTAGAGGTTTGTATGTACCAAGGCAGATTGTCTCCTCACCAACGCCCACTCCAAGCGAATGCTACAGTGGGGATTTTAGACAAGGATACAACTATACCACCAGCATGTCACCCATCTCTTACCAGCATCTAGACATGAATAGAATGTCTTCACCAACAGCACCATTTCTGAGTCAAGAACAAAGAGCTTACTCAAATCCTAACATACCAACCAAATTTTTTTATACAGAGGATGCAGTTCGTTATCCAGTCCATCCCTATTCTAGGGCATACTTTCAGGATGATCGGTCCAGTCTAACCAGCCACGGTAGTACAATGACTAGTCAGTATGATCCAAGGACCCGATGGGTGCACACCCTTCCTGTCAGGTCCTATTACACTGACCACAGAGAGCCAGCACACTCTGTATATAGCAAGCCTTACGCCTCAAGTGAGGCAGGATCATACTTTTCTCACACTCCACTGTCGAGATCTTACTATGGAGAGGACAACCGGTTCAATCCATACCATATGAGTAGCTCAAGGTTGTTTTATTCCAAACCATTTGGCTCTCCAGATGAGCAGTACTTTGCATCAAGGCCTTATCATACAGAGGTTCGTCGACGCCCTCGAATGTCCCAGGCCTTTTCAGATGACTGGTATCGCTCAAGTATTTCTGGTTACTCTAACCAGTCATCTCAGCACACACCACCAGGGGTAAGGCAAGACCCCAGTTTACCCCCATGGTTTACTAGCAGCTGTGTGGAGACAAGTAGACTAGGAGCAGAGGCCAAAAACCACTCCAAGTCTTGGGACAATATTCTGTATCCACGGCATGACAGAGAGCAATCAATGCCTCGTGGGCGAAGCTATGAGAATCTGTTTTATCAAGCAAGACATGGAGCATCCTCTGATATTACATCTCAACCTGTTATACTTAACCTCTCAAGTTCGCCAAGGCGCTACGCTGCCCTGTCACTTTCTGAAAACTCCTTGGAGAGGGGCTCCAGCAATCCATGGAGGAATGCCAAAAGTGGGCACTGGTTTGTAACACCTGAGATCACCATAACAGACAATGACATATGTACAGGCAACAACAAGCAGCGTGATGCGCACTCTGTCAGCTGGGATACATTGGATGTTGAAAAAACACAGCCTCCAAGAGTATTGCTTCAGAAGCAGCCATCCAACACAGCAGACATTGCCAAAGACAGGAAACACAACAATGTTTCCCTTCAGCAGAGTTTAGAGCAACTGGACGAACTCTTAGCTGATTTGGTTGTTGATTATAAACCACCAACTACCCGAAAGTCAAGTGAAAACCTTATAGACCAGCTAAAACAACTAATTACTGAAGATGATGACAAAGACAGAGGATCTTCTGGACTTGAAAACTTAGGATGTCTGAATGCACAGCTCCCATCCTCTAAATCCAGCCCTGACACAATCAAAGACCCTGACAGTGGGTGTGATGCTTTACAAAGAAGCGCAGAAGAATGTTCTCCAGACCACAGCACAGATGAAGATGACACTATGGTGTGTGCTAACAAGAAGTGCAACCGGATTGAGAGCACGTTCAATGCCTGCTTGTACTTCAAATCATGTCACAGTTGCTACACCTTTTACTGCTCACGAAACTGCCGCAGGGATGACTGGGAAACTCATAAAGTGACCTGTCTGTATGGTCGTGTCAGCAGTGTATGTCGACACACTCTTAGGTTTTGCAGAGAGAATTCAGAGATCCACAAAGCCTTCTCTCGCCTTGCTAAAGCTGGCTACCTCTCCAGAGGGAGAGGTGTTCTCTTTCTGGGTTTTGCTAATCCAGAGACAGCTGACAACTTCCTGCAAGTTGGGCTTGAGAGCCTCCTCATGTCGCCCACATACTTATCTCTCAGAGAGCTTGATAGCTTCAAGGACAACCTAGGTGAATACTGCAAGGAACTGCAGCAGGCAGGTAATGAGTATGACCCCAGTGAATGTTTCCTTCTGAATGTATCCATAGCTGTTGGCGAACTAGTGCCTAACAGACCTTCACCAAGGGTTCAAGCACCAACTGTTCGAAAATATGCAAAGGTGTCCTTGGCTTCCTCAAGCCCTGACAAAAAGGTACTAAAGAAGGATAGTGAAATGGAGACTCTCATTCTCACTCCACCTCCAGGCACACCGGACATTGACAAAGAGGGGGAGGAGGGAAGAAAAGCCAGAGAGGTGTGCTTTGTTAATATTCAGCGTGAGCTCAGAACCAGGGGAGTCTTCCTTCGTCATGAGTACCCCAAAATCTATAATCAGCTATGTGAGTTTGTGGAGAGTAACAAAAGGTTCACCCCTACTACAATTTACCCAATAGATAAGAGAACAGGGAAACAATTTATGTGCATGATTATGGCTGCGTCCGAGCCAAGAACACTGGACTGGGTGGGTACCCCACATCTCTTGGATGATATTATATAGTACAGCACTAAATAGTAATGATAATGATGTCAATACACTAAATGTACATACTGTAAATATAAAATGTGATTCAGTAAATTCAACATTGATATGGAGATATATGTATATATGTGACAAATCCCTCTTCCTGTCTGTCTCTTGCTCTTATTTCTCTCACACGCGCGCACACACATGAACAAACACTCACACACATAGAGGCACACATGCCGTATATCCAAACACTTTCAAAGGTTACCCTATGTCGTTTCTGGCTTGTTTTGGTCCTGTTGCACTCAGAAGAGTTAATTGCTTGCATGCAGACTAGGCACAAACCCAGTTATCCAGGTGTTTAAGATGTGAACATGTATGATCTGTGCAGTTCCTGCAGACAATGTATGAAGCACACAATAATGATATACTGTATGTTTAAGTGCACATCTCACTGCCTCCAGATTATAGTAGGCACAGCCAGGTCTCACATTGTAACAGTCACCCACTGTTAATTTCTCCAACAAGAGTTATATCAGAAATTTATATTATAGCTTGTTACAGTGGTTGTAATATTACAACAGTTTAGTAGAACTTATGTATTGTTTCCTAAGTATACTGTAATTGTGTGGGTATTGTTTTTCATTATTGCGAAATTAGTTATTGTTTGATAGATGAAGAAATACAATCAGGTCACCTGTTTGTTTTCCCACTTCATTAGGAATTTTAGTTGGAACTTATTTCATGTCATGATAAGACTTGATGTCATTCTTGTATAAATTGCTTTGTTTGAAAGTGGCCTTCAGTTGATGAAAAAAAAGTATTTAACACAAAGCAATGTATAGATTTAGCTATTTCCTAAAGGCTTGACAGCTCTTGACTTGGGTTGTTTAAACTACCATTGTAAATGAACAATTATTTTGCTCAAAGCATGTTATTTATATTCAAGTATTTTAATACTGATATTGCTTATAATTAGATTTATTATGTTGATGAGATACCATTTGATGCTTAGAAATGTGAGAGGTATTATATACAGATATATTGAATATTAGATCATTTGAACATCAAGACCTTAAGACCTTACTGTAACTAATACCACAATATGTTTAAACAATATGCAATAAAAGAGCAACCTTAACATCTATATTGTAAAATTATATTTTATTTTATTATTAATATTGAATAATTCCTGGAAGCCAAGAGAAGCAAAGATCATGTTTGCACTAAAAAATAAATTATACAATAAATATGTGATTGTTCCTAACAGAGCTGCAGCACTGAACACAGATACAGGCAATGGAAAGTTTTCAGACCCTTTCAAATTTCCGTTTTGTTATGTTTCAGACTCACTGTAAAATGGATTCACTTCATTTTTTTCTCATAAATCTACATACAATACTCCACAAGTGAAAACGGGTTTTTTGTGTTTTGTAGATTTATTAAAAGTAAAAGACTGAAATATCCAATTTGCATAAGTATTCAGACCCTTCACCCCATATTTGGTTAAAGAACCTTTGGCAGCAATGACAGCATCCAGTCTTCTTGAGAATGAAACTGCAAGCTTGGCACCTTGATTTTGGAATTTTCTTCTATTTTTGGCAGAATCATTCAAGCTCAACCAGGTTGGATGGGGAGCGTTGGTGCACAGCCATTTTCAGGTCTGTCCAGAGATGTGCCATTGGGTTCAGGTCCGGACTCTGGCTGGGCCACTCCAGGACTTTTACAGACTTTCCTGTGTTTTCTTGGCGGTATGCTTTGGGTTGTTGTCTTGTTAAAAGTGTAAATCTTCGGCCCAGCCTGAGATCCTGAGCTCTCTGGAGAAGGTGTTCATTCAGAGTTGTTCCATATTTTTCTGCATCTCTCCTTCCCTCTATCCTGACTAGTTTCCCAGTCCCATGTGCAAAAAAACATCCCCACACCATGATGCTGCCGCCACTGTGTTTGACTGTAGAGATGGTATTAATAAGGTGGTTTCAATACCTGGTTTTTGCCACACATGCCGTTGGGAATTGTGGCCAAATAGTTCATCAGATCAGAGGATTTTGCTTCTCATGGTCTGAGAGTTCTTCAGGTGCCCTTTGGCAAACTCCCAGTGGGCTGTCATGTGCCGTTTAGTTAGGAACGGCATCCGTCTGGCTGCTCTACCATTGAGACCTGATTGGTGGAGTGCTGCGCTGATGGTTGTCCTTCTGTAAGGTTCTCCCACCTCCAGAATGGAACTCTGGATCGCATTTATAGTGACCACTGGGTTCTTGGTCACCAGTCTGACCAAGACCCTTCTTCCTTAGTTACTCAGTCTTGCTGGACGACCATATCTGTGAAGATTGTTGATTGTTTCAAATCTCTTCCATTTGAGAATGATGGAAGCTACCATGCTCTTGGGCACTTTTAATGCTGCAGAAATGTTCTTGTATCCTTCCCCAGATCTGTGTCTTGACACAGTCCTGTCTTGCAGGTCTGTGGACAGTTCTCTCATGGTTTTGTTTTCACTCTGACATACATCATCATCATATGAGACCTTATATAGACAGTTGTCTGCCTTTCCTAATTATAAACAGTGCATTAAATTAAGCACAGGTGGACCCTAATCAAGCTGTAGAAGCATCTCAATGATCAATAAAAGAAGCAGGATGCACCAGAGCTCAATTGCAGGTGTCATAACAAAAGGCCTGAATAATTATGTAAATGGGATATTTCAGTCTTTTATTTACAAAAAATGTGCAAAACACTCTAAAAACCTGTTCCCACTTTATCATTGTGATGTACTAGGTGTAGATTGATAAGGAAAAAATTCAATTGAATCCATTTTAAGATGAGTCTGAAACATAACCAAATGTGGAAAACTTGAAAGGGTCTGAATACTTTCTGTACTGACTGTATGATGATATGCTTGCTTCCATTGCCACTGTTGACTAATCGAAGGTTGCTCTTTTACATGATTATATAGCTATCTTTGTGTAAGACCTTCCTTAACATTCTATTTTGTGATGTTTATAACCTAAATATAAATATATAATAAATGGAATTTAACGAGTGACCTTATGGCTTTGCATTTCTATTCCAGCGTACATAGGATTGACTGAATATAATGTAGTCCAGTACAACACCACCTTTAACTATAACCTCAATAATAAACATATAATTGAATTTATACATTTATGACAATTTCACCAAAAAACAAAAACATTTTGAGCTTTATAAGCACAGATGTTAAGGTGGAAGTGTTGCACTGAAATGCATACAATGTACATGTGTACCTAATAAAGTGGCCGGGCAGTGTATATCAAAACACAAAATTCCAGGAATTTGAATATTTCAAATTGTATTGTTTAAGTGCCATTATTTTGATGCTCTCAACACTGTCAGGATTAATAGTCGAAGTGTCCTTGGGCAAGCCACTGAACCCCCTGTTGCCCATGATGGCGGCATGTACGCATGCAGCGGCCTGGGGCCCTCGGCTCCAAACATAATTTTGTTGTACATGTCACAATGTTACAATGACAATAAATAAAGCTTCTTCTTCTTCTTTTTCTTCTAATACAACAGTCTGTAAATTTAAATATTTAATTTGTGTAACCACATGATGCCTGTTTACAGTCATGACAACTTACATTAAATACAGTTAAGGATAGGGAGGGATGAAGCATATTTATGCTTCAAGTTTTTGATAAAATGTCAATTTAAAATTTGAAGTACTTTGAAAATGTATAGTATAATATACTATAATGAATATACGTTGTTCTGGGAAAATAATAAAAGCTTGAATTGTTAAAATGGATACACCAGCCCTTGTCCCTCCGTGTTGTCTGCTTATGGGTTATTGCTGTGAGTTTGAAACTGGCTGATGTGTGGAGATTTCTCCATCCTACACTTTCTATAATATATGTGATTCGGTGGCTATTACTGTGCTGCTTATTACAGGTTTTACAATATTTGTTCGTGTCTGTCTGCTGTTATTAGAACACCACCTAGTGGAATAATGCATGTATTACTTCTATTAAAAAGTCAATTCTCTCTCTCTCTCTCTCACACACACACACACACACACTATACTCAAGTGTTAGCAGATGATGTTCAGGTAAATGTCCTGCTTTACTGGCATTTTAAACCATGCTGTTAACTATAAATGATTTACAAAATGCCATAGATCTAGGTATTAAGAAAGTCCACCTCAGTCAAAAACATTTAGGCCCTACTTCAATCCAGTGACATATCCGTGCAGATTCTCAGTCATCCAGGTCATAGTAAGCTGGAAAAACGTAGAAAAAAATCAACTGGACTAGGTTTTTAGGAACTGATGAAGCCTCTTAAATGAGAGTAGCCTACATATCGTGGTGGTCTAACACTGTACAATATCAATACCAGTTTTTAAAAAGGTATCGATAAATGGTCTAAAAGGGCACACAGGCACATATAAAACACAAGCTAAACTGAATAATTATATTGTATAATAAATACGATTTCGATCAGATGTAAAATCACAATAAACACTGAGCTATTGCTCTTTACACTGTTTCTGCGTGGGATACGGCCACAGCTCTGCTTAACCACAGAAGCACCTAATGCACCGTAGGCTACTTCTCCACTTGTCAGCGCTGAGTGGTTGGCTGCGTCGCTTCTCAGTACAAGCTTTTGCGCATGCGGGCTGCACGGGCCCCCTCGTGATGACAGTAAATGACAGCACTGTTCGCTTCTGCAGAACCCACTGTGAAACGGCTAGTCGCCAACAAGCAAGTTCTCTGCCCTGAGAAATCGTATGATCAGCTGTATTTAGAGAATACTAACAACGAATACACGCTAATTATTTTTGGTAAGTTGCAGAATTTACATTAGCGTGTTTTGTTGATCACATTTGGTCATTCAAGAGCGTGCAGCCTAACGCTTAGCTAACTAGCTTATCCTGTGTTTGTCTAGCAAGTGTTAGCCGAGTATACCTTGGTTATCGATAGCAGGCTACCGCCAGGTTAGCTAACTCACCAGATAGCTGTCTTTCCGTCTACTCCAGAACAGTGCAAGCACATGACCTTATTGACTGGTATCACTGTAAGACTTGGGGGTCTCCTGTCAGTTTCCTTCATAGCGTTTAGCTGACCTAACGTCGGTTAATTGGTTTATTTGACAAGATTTTCAGCTCTAAGTCGCCTCAACCTAGCTTAGCAACCTATCGTTGTTGGTCGCCATGCTAAATCTTGGTCGGCTAGTATCGTTACACCTTCAAAACAGGGGCATCTTAAACGTGCAACTTAACATTAGGAGAACATTAAGTTGTTTTAGCTTATTGTAATAAATATGCCCCACCCTCCCAATGAGCCCGGTGAAAGGAATGTGTTAGCCTTATAGTCTTAAATTCATTCACGCAGTATTTGTAAGGCCGTGGGACATTATAGCACACTGTCATAAACGTTTAAACACTGAATATTAGGCTACTGATAAATCTTTATAGCACAGAAGTAGCTGTCTCCTCATTTTGACCAGTAATGCTGTAGCATTTAGTCGCTGGTTTAAAAAAAAAAAGCTATGTAATCATTCATGTAGTTTTGTTAAGTTAAAACGCTAAACATTCGCTGTTGTCAAACTAGTAAAATTTTTGTATCATTATAAATTGAATAATTTTGGCTTTTGCTGTTTGTCAGACAAAGTGAAGCAAATGTACATTTTGGAATAATACACTGTGAAAATTCAAAGTCAAATATACAGTATTTATTTCCTTGTTTGCCAATAATATACTGGTCCTGAGTTATCCAACTTCTCACCTCCTAAGCAGCCAAGATTCAGGCTCTCAGCAGAATGTCACTCAGTTTTGTGGTTTGAGAGTGGAGTGACTTTTAAATTCACGTGATTCACATGTAACAGTGGAATCACACACCTTTTACTTTGTAACTGAATTTGTAATAATTCCTAGGCTCATTCATTACTTCAAAGTCTGTCTCTGTTTTCTTGTCAGGATGTAGAATACAGATATTTTTGCAGATAGCAGCAGTAGTCATTTCAGCTGATTCAGATGACATTTAAATTCATACACTGCCGTGCCACATCTGTCTAATCTCCTCTAGTGGTATTTATCTGATGCTGGTGTATGCGTGTTAAAGTCACAGCTTCATTAGTTCCTGACTAAACTTTATGCTGTTTTGAGAATCTGCAGTTACTGAAGGAAATTGCTGCAATTTGGCAGGTCTGATTGAACTGCAGAGCTGGTGGCTTGTGTGTATTTGTGTACGTGTTTGTGCTGTTTGCTTCACTTTGGCAGATAATTTGCAACTTAAGGATTTTGTTTGCAATAAAATGTAATTCTGGTCATTCTAAATAGCCCCTAGGTATTAATGTGTGGGAATGTTTGTCAGTATGTCAGCCCTGTAATAGACTGGCTCTAAAACTTGCATTTAACATATAATGATTTAATGGCATGTCCAGTTTGACAACCATAACAAACAATTGAGTGTTTACAACTTAAACACAGTTTTCTCAACTGAATATGGAGGCGGCATATGAAGCGCATTATCAGCCCTTCATACTGTATTAGAAACATTGTTTAGGAAAGACTCAGCGTCTGAATTAAACACTGTGTGTGCGCTTTATGTTTATTTATTTGTTTAGGTTTTGCCATTTCTTCAACAACTTGTGTCACAGACAGAAGATATCATTGGTCATTTCTCTGAGGTAGTGATGTCATCAAGGCTAGATAAGCTGGCTTGTAGCCAGGAGGTAGCTTTTCCATCACCAAAGAGGCAGGGTAAATCTGAAAGAGGAAGTGGGAGATGGATGTTTGCTCACAAACATGAATACCTTTTGTAGAAAGTGAAATCTTTCAATATCTATAAGCAGCAGTTTTTTTCCATTGGTCTGTTTGCATGTGTAAGAAAGTTCATGTAATGGGAGTGAGCTGTGCTCTAAAATCCTTGTGCAACTCTGGTGCAGCAATGCTTACCTACATCTTTTATTTAAATAATTTCTTATGTTTTGCACTTTGCATTTCAAAATTAATTTCACATTTATTTTGAAAATTTTCATTAGATAGCTTGTCTTTGCTTTGCTGCTTGTCTCTTACGCTGCCTTATTATAGTTCTGATGCTTACACAGATTTCCTCGTGTCACTCCTGTCGCTGTCCTGCCACAACTAGGCTCATTCTCACACAACTTAGAAGGCTTCGGATCGTGTCTCCGCTCGTGCTGTCTGATGTTTGGTTTCTCTTCTGCTTTAGAGTTCCTCAGTGTTCTTTATGACTTATTCAACAGGTGGCTCTATGCAGGTATTGGTTTGGAGCTGATGGGCACAGGAGACTGTGACAAATGAGTTAACCTCTTTGATAACTATTTAATATCCCAGTTGCTTTCCTTCCAAGAATGTGGGGAATTTGCTTATTCAGGAACATGAGAGTATATGTGGAAGTGCTCTGTGAGTGGACTTGCTAGCCAGTTACTTGTCTATTCATTCAGATGTAAAATGGAAACAGAAGAAATACATTTAAAAAGTGTCTTTCTCATCTGTTATCATCTAGAAACATCCTGAAATGTAAAATGTAGTTGTTTGGTAACGCTTTACTGTAAGTCACCCTATTTAGTGTTTATAAGCACTGTATATGGATTTGATGAATGTTTTATAATGCATAATGTAGTTGTATGCAGGTATATAGACATTTTAGGTGGTCAGTGTTCGGTTTTTGTCAGCATTGATAACTTCTCTTATGAATTAGATTAGCTTGAATTGACACCTAAAAACAGGTGACAAATGGAAAAAAGAATAGCACACTGGAAGCTTGCATGATTTTTAAAAAAAATGGCAGAGGTTTTGACCCACTAGTCTTCTTCAAGGCAAGTGAAACAAGTTTAGTGGCAAGCAAACGTTTATGTGCTGACATCTCGCACCTAAAAACGATCCACAGTCGGTGGCATGAGTAAATTCACTGGTGTTTGGGAATTAACACCATGGTGAACCTTGGAGCAACCTCCACTGCACATTCAAATCACATATAGACAATCAAAAACATAGCTCCAAGAAATCAACCATATCAGTTATGCACAAGAAAATATTTAAATACATCAGTGTCCTGCAGTCTACAATGACGTGAGATGAAGAAATGGAATACGTTTTATAAGCTGTTATTATCAAATGTCAAATTCTTACTTTGAAA